TGGGTTTGAGAGAGTCCTTGGATGCCTTGGGAAATGCTCTGCAAAAGTGGACTTTCTCTCCATGCATTCTGCACTCCAGCCACCAGGTCCTGACATCTCCATGCAAGGGATTTACCCTATGTGATGAACATGAAACCTATGTGCCTTTCAGGCACAGGTTCTCTGTTATGCCTGTAGTGCCAGGCACAGAAACAGGACAGCAAGGTGCACCCCCACCTGTGTCAGCAGAAGCTCTAATTCAGCCACAACACTGCCTCAGGATGCTCTGAACAGGCTAAGAAACTCCAGCTCACAGCCACAGCAGCCCTGGGCATGGCTGGTGTAAGCTGCTTTGCCACAGCTTTAGACAGAGTAAGATCTTACCCACTATCCCTAACGCCTCTGCCCAGGACACAGGAGAAGCAATACTAACTTGTGGAAAGTAAGGGAGAGGTTGCACCAAGTAATCATGACACAGAAACACTCTCTGCCTCTCCTGTGCTTGTCCCAGTTACTCAGGAGGGAAAGTAACTGGGTTAGGAGAGCTGAGGATTAGCCTAACGCAGTTGGGTACCACCCACTGCTTCAGAGGCTCCAGCTCAGTTCTGTGACAAGCTGGGTGCTTGACAGCAGCATCCCTTTGAAATGCTGGGTATAGGGCTCACCTTGGAAAAGCCTTCCTCCAGCACAGGGTGATTGTCTGTATGCATGAAGACAAGCTTCCCGGGGTGGGCTGGGGCAAGAAGGCGATGGATCGGGTGGAAAAATGCTTCTGCTGCAGCACAAGACTTGCCTGTGCTCCTCACCAGCTAAACAGCAACCTGGCCTTATGGAGTCAGAGCAGCCTTGAGGTGGCTCTGAGCAGAAAGCACACAAATGCTATGACAGAAGCCCCCAAACAACCCACAGAGCACCAGAAACGCCTTGCAAGGTTTAGAGCACAGCTGTGCACCCTTGTCTATCTGCATGGGAAAAGGGAGCCGTAGCTCCCGATGGCAGAGCTGGCAGCATAGGAACAGAGAGGGAGGCGAGATATGTGGCTGAGGAATTCGCAGCCTTCACGTTCCCTCTCTCCCACCTCCTCCTCTCGCAGGACATAAAGAAGCCTCTTTTGTGGCAGGAGGATGGTTGGGGTGCAGGCGTGAGCGTGAGCTGGGGCAGGCGGGCTCCTGCACACACACGTGAGCTGGAGCAGAACCAGCCATGGGCATGGCCGCTGATGCTGCTGCCCTCACTAGGGCTTGAGCATGGAGCAGTGGGCAGCGGTGCCAGTTCTGCCTGGTGTGAAGGAGGGAGGTTTATGAGGGATGGCACATGGCCTCCTCCCTGCTGCCATCCCGCTGTCCGAGCACCACAGCCCTCATCTCCATGGAGCAAAGGGAGCTGGGGGTGGGATAAGAACTCAGTGGTGTTGCCTTTCTCTCCCAGCGTGTGCGGCACGGACCCTGTTCCTCATGGAGAAGACGGTGCCAATGCCAGACCCATGCTGGCACCACATGGGGTAAGTTCACCTCCAAGAGGGTCTCCTTCAGCCTCTGTTTCCACAACAGCCAGTACAAAAGGACACTGCTTTCCCCCATCCCCACTGAATTACCCAGCATACCTGCACCGCCAATGTCCTCTCCATGGGATGCTCAGGCAGGACTTGCATGGCTTTAGATTCCACTTCTGTTCACACCTCCCTGCTCTCAGTAGAAGTCTCTTCTTGCCATGCTTGCTCCTGAGTTAGGTGTTGGCAGCAGGAGGGAGTCCCGAGCACCCTCCTTCTACAGCTGAATAGACCAGGATGCCTGCCTCAGCTCTGCCGCACTGAACAGGTCCCACCATCTCCCGAGAGCTTTTACCACCCTGGTCCTCAAACACACAGCACCAGCCCAGCCCCTGGCACCTTCCTTTCAGGTGAACACAATGGATCCCCATCATGTGCCATGGATTTGTCCCTGTGAGTGTGGGGGAATACCCAGTTTCCCAGCAGCAGCAGAACAGTCCCCTCAGAGATACCACTGTCAACATGAGAGATAAAACACATCAGAATAAAACCTATTCAAAGCCATCACGGTAAAGACAAACCCAGCTGAGAGGAAGGGTGGAAAACTGGGGACTGAGAGGAGTAAAGAAAAGGGCTGTCCTGAGAGTCCTGTTGGGAATTGACGCCAGGATGTTATAATCAGCCAAACTGCAAAGACGCTTTTGGCACCAAGAGCCAAGATCCACTTTCTTGAATAGCACCGAGCCCACGTCCACATCTGGGTCAAAAATAACCCCTGCACCAATAATAATTTACTCTGCGTGTTTTCCATGGCACCAAAGACTTTGGGTGAAGGAAAGGAATTGCCTGAGAAGGTGGGAATCTCCTGAGTGACAGAAACATTGCACCACACCAAAGGAAAAAAGGAGAATGTGTTGAAGAGAATTAAGAGATTGGGCAAGTAGAGTGCAATGTGAGACGGTTCTGAAATCTACCCACGTGTTACACACACAGTACATAAGGTGGGAGAGAAAAAGAAGAGTAAATAAAGAAGAATGCAAGAAATAAGAGTGTGCAAAGCCTGCTCAGAGATCTAAGGATTAAAAAGAAAACCTTTAGTAGAAATGGAAAACAGGGAGGCGACCAAACAAGAATATTCAGTCAGTTAAGGCTTGCAGGGAAAAGATAAGGGCAGCAAAAATGCAGAATGAGTTAATTATAGCCAAAGGGATTAAGGAGAATAAGAGGCCTTTTACAAATATATCAGGGGAAACAGAAGCAGTAGGTAGAAGGTGGGTCTGTTAATAATAGGTCAAAGTGGGATGGAAAATAATGAAACAAGGGGACAAATCATGCCAACAGCAGTGTGGGCATCTTCCTGTTACCAGCCGGCCCGAGACCTCCGAGCCAGCACAACAGGTCCATTGGCTGAGACTGGTTTCAACTCAGAGACTCCCCATCCATAAGGACAGCTCTGAGCTGCCATCCCAGCAGAGCTGGGTATGGAAACGTGCCACGGGTCTCCCCATGCGGTGCCTGACACTTTCCCTGAAGAAATCAATGTATTTTCAGTGATTAGTTTGCTTCAGCTCAGCTTCTTGTGGTGGAGGAGGCTGGAGGAAGCACATAACGCTAAGGTTGGGCCGTATGTGTGGTGCAATGGCCTTGGAAGGAGACCTGGTTAAAACACACCAGTGGGTGATGAGCTGACTGACCAGCTATGGGCTTCTCATCAACTCTTGTGCTTGGTTATTTCCCCTCTGCCTCACTCAGCCCCTTGAAAGCAACAAGAATAGCCTGCAGCAAATCCCCGCGGCTGGAAGCAGGGATTGGCAAGCAGCAGGACTTTGCAACGCTTGCACCTTGCCGAGTCTGTGGGCCTGATTCTCACCTCCTAGGAAATTTTGGGAAAGAATTTTAAATATTTCAGACACGCACACATTCCTACTGCCAGGATTCCCGCTTTCTCCCTCCCCAGAAATAGAGCTTGGCTCCAAATCCCAGGTTTCCCTCTCAGTTCCTATAAAAACAAGAGGCTTAGTTAGGAAAACTACAGACTATTTGTGTTTTCTCAGAGTCAAAAAGGAATTGTCAGGAGATAGAAACTGTTTGCCCAGCCCTTTCACAGGAGGAAGCCCATCGCTCTCCTGCCTGCCTCTGGGCGCGTTTTGCATACTGGAGGCTTTCCTTGAACAAGACCCCTCAGGCACCCTCCAGCCCCATCTGCCAGGGAGTCACGCAGGGAGACAAAGGGCCAGCTCCTTTGTCTGGGGAGACAAGGTGCCAACCTGCCTGTCTCTGTTTACCAAAGGGAGGGATGTTAGCAGGGTGAGAATGGGGGGCTGGGACCATCGCTGGGGCGGGGGCCATTTGTCCTCTATTCCCGGCTTTCAGGCGCTTTCCCCTCCCTGCTGTCTCCCTCTGATTTCCATGTCTTGCCAGTTCGGCTTTTTGAAATGCTTTAAATAGTTATTTAGGAGCCTGCTGCTTAAAAAGAAAGAAGGAAATAGACAAATAGGCTCTATTTCTGCAAGGATAACCAGGGAGCAGCCTCACAGCCCCAACTCCTGTGAGCTAACTCCCTACAGCTTCATCTACAGGGTTCTTTGACCCATGGATAACCCCATGGCAAGGTGGATGCACACAGACAACCCATACCTTGTCCTTTACTCAGTGCTTGCCTTTTCCTGCATCCCTACGTGGTCACTTACAGAGAGCAGTGAGGTGATGCTGGGAGCCCGATGGTTATACCGGTAGCTACTGTGCCCATAGACACTGGTTTGGGGATGGGAGCTGCCTGCTCACGGACAGTTTTCACTAGCACGATTTTCTACCAGTGTGTATCCCTGCATGGTGCTGAACCAGGATAGTTTGGATCAGGCAGGAAGGTGGATGAAAGCCCTGCACTCACAGAGGCCTTCCCCTAGCGAGCATAACGTGTACCTGCTGCACATCCATGGCAGCACCATGCACCCAGCCACAGGTTTGCACAATGAACCACATCAGAAATGGACAAACTCCAACAACAAAACGCATGGGACACCAGCACTGGGGACTTTCCTTCTATACTCATCCTGCTTACCTCAGAGAACACATAAATGCCAAAAACCAGTCAGCCTTCCTCCCTTTTACCTATGTTGCACATTACAGGGTGAAACCGGTGCTCCCTGTCTCCCTGCTGCCCCTTTGCACTTTCAACCCAAATAAGTAAAACTGCACAAGGAAAGAGAGGTTAAAAAGCACGCACTCCACAATAAAAGCCAGGTAATACACTGTCCTTTACAGATCTTCCTCTTACACCATCCATTCTTTTACAGCATGATCTCTGTTGGGTGTTAGAGGGAAAAGGGCGGTAGAGCCCAAACCAAGCAGCATCAGCAGGGAAAGCAGCAGCCACAGTGGCAGGCAGTGCTTTGAATGATCTCATGAATCAGCCGTGACATTATCTACAGTGAACCGCCTGGGAAGGGGTTTCCCATATCCTCCCCTGACCTGGAAGGTTGAATCCACAGGGGCCTGAAGGGCATTTTGATTGCCAAAGACAAAGGCTAAATCAGAAGGAAATGATATTTTATTTAACCTCTGCATCAGGGAAGGGGCCCGAGGGGAGGGTAGAGGCAGCGGGGCGGTGACAGGGGCGTGTGGATAACAGGGGCATTCAGCACAGATCGCTCAGTACCATATGGGCTTCCACTAGAGCAGCATGTCCCATCAAAGAGCCGGTTTCCCTCCCCATGCTGTCAGAGGCTGCCGGAGGAGGGCAGAGCCCTGCGCACAGCCCAGCCTGCTCTGCCATCCTATCCTGCCGCTCGGTGCCAATATGGAATTTCCTTTCGGGAAAGGGCTGTGATAATTGTCCCTCCTATTTACACAGCGCTTTCCAGACAACGTGCCAGACGCTGCAGCCCTTATACAGGCAAAGCTCCCAGGGACACCCTGTCTTGGCTCAGAAGCCAGCGAGGGCTCCAAGAGCTGGGTGCTACGCAGGAGCAGGCAGCAGGACTGCAGACGGGTTGGTGCAGGGACCAGCTCTCCCGTAGGAGCCCCATTCCCAAAGTGTGACTGGTGGCCATAAAAGAAATCAACATCAAAAGGGCTTTGGAGTGGTGGGGTGGGGTGGGCTTACCTCCTTGTTTACATGGCATTAGAGCTACAAAGGCTTTAAATGCCTTCCCGACATGACATTCCTGTAGGAAGCTGCTGTAGATGTCCCGAGGACTCAGGTGATGTTGGGTGGGTGGGGAAGGGCTGTGTGGGAAGGCAGGGAATGCAGCAGTGCCCCTGAGGCAAGGTAGGGCCCATACCACCCTGGGTGGTGGGCTTTATGCAATAAGGCCCTGGAGGAGGGGTGCGGGCCAAGGCTGCACGGTACAACCTGTAGTGCCAGCAAGGTGAGGCTGGGTGGTGGAGTCCACGCTGGTCTTCCTCTAATGATGCTCTCAATGCAAGGCAGATAAGGCTCATATCTGAACATCTCCAGTTGTTCTCTGAAGCACAGCCTTTCCAGGACTGTTCTCTCCCCATTTGTAGCCAACCCAGAGACACAAAGAGGGTGGATCAGAGAACCAGAGGTGTGAGAAATGGCAAAGACCTTCACTTGGGATCATTTCCTCTGGTGTTTCATCAGACCCAGTAGGCATACAATGGCACTTTATGGCTTCCTTTGGGAGCTGGTTTCTGTAGCTCTTAGGCGCCCAGGAACAGGTTGTGTTTTGCCAAATTTCTGTTTCACTGTGAGCAGAAAATAGTCATGGATGTCAATATGAATTTTTACAAGTGCAAAGGATTTAGAAGTGACACCCCCCTCCCTCCTTCCCACAGCACCAAAATATCACACGCCAAAGATCCTCCTGCTGAGAGCTGAATTCCCCCTTCACGCAAAGTTCAAGGACTGAGGCTTGTTCCAAGCATTTCTATTTCAGACTCTTGGTCTTTGACCAAATCATCACATTTCAGGCTTGTGCTGAAGACCTGAGGACCATATTTGTTTGTACTCCCTTTGCCCTCAGGGGCCCAGCCACAGCCCCCCTGTACGAGATGCACAAAGGCAGCAGGAAGCCTCAGCCTGCCCTAAGCATGTTCCCCAGATACGTGTTCCCCTAGAGGTCCTGGGTGCTTTGGGAGCAGGTCAAGCACACACCAGTTCTCCAGCTCTGCTGTGCAGGGAACCTACAGCACCAATTGATCTGTGGGGAGCATGACCCAAAGCGTCAAAACAGGGCCTTTAACATTGTGCACTGCCACCAAACCTGTTTGACTGAATTGCAGGTTAAAAAGGCATTGTGCCTATAATTGTTGGGCTTTAGAGAGCCTGTCTTTTCCTTTAATGAAATACCTTGCTCATTCCATTCGAAAAGGAACCAAAGACTTCTCAGGTTTATGATAAAGCTGTAAAAATTTTATTTACCCCATATTTCCTGCTGGGTTATTTACGAGGCATTTTGTCAGCTCTCATAAAACTGCCTTGTAAAAGAGATTTTCTTACCAAAAAAATAAAATCATTTGTGCGGAACATCTTGAGAGCAGCGAGGACAGAGTTAATGGGATACACACACGTTCCGACCCTGGGAGAAAACAAAACAGAACCAAAGCCAGGCATTGTTGTGCTGCATTAGTTAATAATAGCTTTAGAGCTAAAATCCTGCTCCCACTGATGTTACTGGAAGTTGGTCCTTAATGTAAAATAATCAAAGAACCAGCTGCCATGAATTGTAAAGCCCCCAAATGAACCTGGAATGCATCAAAGCACCCAGAAATCACACTTCTCCCATTGGGATTTCACCAGAAACACCAGCTCAAGAACTTTCCCTTTAAAACATGGTGGCTGAGATTTGTGTAAGTGGTGGATGGATGCAGAGCATCGCTCAGGGCTGGAACCCAAGGGTGGGTGGTTGTAATACAGTGGCTTTTACCTAGTTAAGGGTCAACACTTAAGCAATGAAGCTCCTTGACGCAACCCTGAAGGAAATCCCATGTTGGTCATTGCTGTCAAATGAAGAGCCTGGGCAGAGGAGGAGCAGAACTCACCCTCTCCAGCCGCAGCTGGAGTACATTTGCCTCTCTTGGAGCTCAGCTTTTCAGTTCCATGTCACATGTTTGCATCTGCTCACTTCTCCTTGGTCCAAACTTGTGCATCCTTCCCCCAGCAGTGCTTGTTCCCTAATCCCAGTGGGAACCTTGGAGCACTAAGTTTGTGGTGCAGCATTACCTCCAACACCCTTCATTTCAACCCTTGCAGCTTCACTCCAACCGCTCTTACCTCTTACAGATAAGCGGGACACAGGTAAAAAGCCCTTTCCATGTGGCTTGGCCTGGCTCCCTCAGGAGCCCAGCAAAGGTATTCTAGCTTGGAGGCACCAGGAATATAAAGGAAGCAAGAAAACAATGAATAAAAGTAAAAAAACAGAGAAACGGGGAGGGTTGTTTTTGAAACAACAAGAGCTGGATGCTGGGAAGCAGTCAGAGGTCTTTTGTTCTGCGCCTGTACAGCGCTTAGCACAACACAACCCCAAATTACAGCTGAGCTCCTTGCTCCTGCTGCTGTGCACAAGTAAAGCAGCAGCAGCCCAGTGTGGGAAACAGGCAAGGAGCCAGGTTTGCAAAGGTATTTAAGTGTGTAAAGACACAGGGGGATACTTACTTACGGATGCTGGTAGAGGTCCTGTTTCCTATGGGAGCTAAGGCTCACAGCACCAGCTTTATCAGTGCCACCAGGTGCTACCTGTGTCTTTGGGTACAGGTAGAGCTGGGTTTACCACTCCTCTCCTTCATACTTGTTTCTTAAAAGCCACTCTTACCATGGGGTTGCTCTCCTATGTGTCAGCAAAATGCCTTTTGCCTTGCAAGGTCCTGCCTCTATCACACATGGCAGCATTTAGCAATATGACAGCTCCGTGCTGCTTTGGGCGTGCACAGTGCTTGGGATGTGCCTTCCTTTTGCACAGCTGTGGTTGGCAAGGGAGGCAGGAGGTACCTGGGTGACCCTGGGGCCTGGAGCTGGCCAGAAATGCCCCTTGGCCTGCTGATGGGGAGGGAAAGGGGGAAGCTGCTAAACTGAGCAGAGGTGGCTCCCAGGGAACCAGGGAGCGCTTACATCAAGTGGGATGTACCAGACCTGAGCTTCAACAGGAGCTGGTGGTGATTTGAACAGGCAGTTTAACCAAACTGGACTGAACTTCTTTCAGCTCAGCCCTGCCACAAATGTCTGATCCAACAGAAAATGTGCTCTGCAACTGAGAAGCCCTCCCTAGGCTGCACTAAATCCATGACACCAACCCAGCAAGCACATTCCAGTTGGACTCACCTGGAACATCCATCAGCTGTCTAGAAATAAACACAGAGGTACTCCAAAGCAGGGAATGTTGAGAGGAGAATTGTGTCCAAAGGCTCCCTGGATGTGGCTCTGAGGGCTGAGTGGGTGGAGATGGAGAAGGAAAGCCATTTCTATTCCAGATATCAAACAAGCTCTCAGGGAAATTCCTTCTACAGCTAAATTCATTTAAAAAGAAAACACCTTTGCCTCCCAGCTTTCAAGAGGTTTTGGCATCCTTTACAGCCAGCACAATCAGTTGTTCCAGAATCAACATTTTTGGTCACTGACTGACAAGGAAGGGCTGCTTTGCCTCAGTGCACCAGGGAGAAACCAGCAGACATGTAGCAGACTCCTTATTTGCACTGGTGGGACTAATGCTTAGAGAAAGGTGAGCTGGCAGGATGTTAGCATACTGCACGCTCTGACAAAGCCCTGGTGATGAGAGAGCCGCTGGCCTCCAGAGCAACCAGTCCAGTGGGAGAGCTTCTGCTCGTTCCATCAGACCACTGCTATTAATGGGGCAAATTCCAACATTAAAATGACAAAAATCATCTCCCTGTGCCCCAGGCAGGCATCAGAACATCGAGTGCTTGAGCTCAGAGGCTGGCATAGGTGTTGTCCCTAGAAGGGGAAGCATAAAGAGAGGTGGATAGTGGAGATGTGCAATAGCACACACTGAGGTCTCTGAAAAGCTGCTGCCGTTGATGGGGGTCCTTGGCAAACGACTCCAACGCTATCAGGAGCCATGAGGCTCGCAGCTCCCTTCTCTGCAACAGGCTGTGTGATTTCTCTTCCCTGCTGCCAACTGGCATCAGTGACCAATTTATTTGCATCGAACACAAAGATCCGGGTTGTCTGAAGCCAAGCAGGACCCTCACCGAGGGAAGGCTCTGAGCTATTTAATAAAGTTTAGAGACCAGAGGAGCATCCAGGCTTTCCCACCATAGGAGGAGAAGATGAAATTCTTTAATTGTTTGTGTTTGAGTGAAACTCTTATAAAAAGAGGATTTGGGATTCTGAGGAAGCTTTAGAGGCGAGTCTGACCTTAAGCTGTGTTTCTGCACAGCATCGCACGCTCTCACACTGCGCTCCCAGCACTCACTCTGGGAACTCAGCCCTCACGCACATCCCCCTTGCTTAGGCAACACGGAGGGTCTCAGGGAGCCAACAGTTATGTTATCCTAAGGTTAGTACAGGACCTTTTGGAGCCTGTGGTCCGGGCAGCTTAAAGGAAGCTGTGTCTCTCATGGGCAGACCAACACACAGATGCTCTGCAGTCTGTTACAGCTCAATTCTCCAGTTACTAGAAATCACAGTGGTTTGGATCCCAGACTACTTTTCTCACTGAGTTATCTCCCTATCCCCAATTTGAGCACATCTGTCTCATTGTAGTCCACAGGGTCCTTTTATCGCAGTGCTCAGACTTCTCCAAAGAGCAGTAAAAGGAATAGACAAATCAAGTTTAGCATGTGCATTTGGCTTTGAACAAGAGATCTCATAGGACATGCAATGCTCATACTTTTGCCCTCATTCAGGACTGAAGTGCTGTGAGCCTGGTAAGTTGGCTGCTCTTTGGGCCTGAACAAGGTCCTACCTGCTTGCGATTCAGCCCAAATTTGGAACTGACAGCCACAACATGAGGTGTAGGAACACAAGCAGAGCAGCCACCAGCCCAGATGCATGCTGGAAATGAGAGCTGAAGGATCTGGATTTCCTAAACCACAGACAACCTCATTAATGCGGTAGTCAGACTATGTGGCATCTCTTCATCCTGATAAAACTAAACTGGTTTGGGGTGTTGTTGGGATTTTGGTTTAAATTGATAGATACAGGGGCCACTGAGGGCTGTTTTAATTTCTTAAACCTTGAAGATTCTCTGCTTTTAAATCTCTGCCTTCCACCCTTCTTCACCTCTCATTCACAAGTCACTCTAGAGATGATGAAGTGCCTCTCCCTTACAGGTTCTATGAATTCTGGTGTCATTCTAAATATCATAGCTCTGGGTAGAGAATATCATCAAAGCTGTAGCACAAGCATAGGCCTGAGGGTGAAACACAGAACAATCCCTTTGGCTCAAAAGATGCCAAGTTATTTGGCATTTGGCCCCAAATGCCACCTGGGATGGTGTAAATCTCGCTAAGGAGACCATGTAACCAAACTGACAATAGCAGAAGTGATGGCAGGAGCGACTGGTTACCTTTTTACCCCAAATGATCCCATTTTTACCTGCTATATCTCTATGGGGAATAACTAAAGAGACTGGGGCTTTTCAGTCTAGGAAGTAAAGCGAGAGAATACACCAGAGGTCTATAAACTGCTGTGTGGTGCTGGCAAAGGTGAGTTGGGAACAGCCCTTGACCACCTTTCCTAGCCATTGGGGAAGCCAGGAGGAGGCAGAGTCAGCACAAACAGCATCTGGGCAGCAAACCTACAGCCTGGCCCCACTGAGTCTCTGCTTTGAACTAACGCTAAGGAGGGCTACCAGCCCTAGCGAGGCCCACTGAAACAAGCACCAAATCTCTGCATGCTCAGCTGAAGGTCTGGTTAACAACAGGGAACCTTTGTAAGAGGCCTTGAGATGTTCAGCAGCCAGAGCATGGCACAGCTTGCTTCAAGTTCTCATGCTGCAATCCTGGTTTCACCACTATTTTATCATATGGCATTAACAGAACACATCTAACTGAGGGCTTGGAGCATGATGGGTGTCAAACCAGCAGCAGCCAGGGGCCTGTAGTCTAAAATTCAGCTCAAATCTTCAGCTTCTAGAGAAGAACGACAGTCTTTGCCTTTGGTACTGCAGGAGGACAGGATTCACCCAGTTAATTGTACGTATTTGATTCACCAAGTGTTAATTGTGCATGTTTGGTTGTGCAGCCCGAGTAGATTAACCCCAGTGTCTCAGGGTAAGCTGGCAGAGGGCAGAACCATCTGCAAAGTGGGAAATGGGAGCAAAGAGGGAAGAAGTTCAGGGTTGTGCTCTGAAAGAGAAAGCAAATCTTATTTATTTTTCCTAGCCTTGGGCTCTGGTGCCAGGCTTCTTGGGTTCGACACCTCCTGGAACAGGAACAAACCCAGCCCCATCTCAGGAGCTGGCTAAGGAATGCTCAGGCTCACTTGGTTAGCTCTATTTCTGAGACAGAAACAGCAATCTTTCTACTTTCAACATCAATAACACCAGTTATTCTCCCAAAGAATTATTATCAACAATTCCTTTGCTATATTTACAAAGAAGCAGGGCTATTCTTAGAGGAAACACTAAAAAAGCCATTTTATTTCGCTTTCTTGGCAGTTAGACAAAAATGTAAGGAATGTAGTCAGTTAAAAACATCAAATCCCCAGCACGAGCCTATAAGAGCTTTCTAATGCATATTTACAATATAGAAAGCAGCCACTTTCCTGTTTTGTAGAACAAACAGGGAACCTTCTCTTTTCTTCCTAGCTGTTCCTGAAGACCAAACATCAAGTTGGACATGGAATGCTGCTTTTAATGGTGCGGGTTGTAAACTTTTAATGCCTAGAAAATGGGACTTAATGCTACAGCCTGCTTTCCCTAAAAAGGAATTAGAGGCAAATTTTACTGCTGGTTTTAGGGAAGTTCTCAATTGGCAGCCCTGGGTATCTAAATACTCCTTTAGCCACAGTTTGGTTTGCCATAGGGAACAGCAGTGCTAGCAGAGCAAGGGCTGCTCGGGTCCTACAGTACCGCTGGTGGCACTGGGGGAAAGCACTGTGTTCCCACAGGGACCCAGCTCAGTGCGGGGACACTGGGATTTGGGAACAGACGGAGGGGACCGCACCACTGTTGCCATACATGCAACAGCATCTCAGCTTCTGAATGTCATCAGGAAAACCTCTATCTTAGGGGCATTACTTACTGCTTAGGAAGGAGACTGTGGTGCAGCCAGGTCCCAGCTTCCCTGCTGACACTGAAAGCAGACAAACAGAAGACATGGGTTATTGCTCTAGGTTTACAGGGGGGTCAATGAGTGCACCTCTGACGTGGTGAAAACGGACAAACGTTACCAATGGTACTTGTATTGCACAAAGCCCCAGAGATGCCCAAATGGACATGACAATACCTCCTTTAAAGAGCAGTCTATTCCATGGGTAAATGAAGAAACTCAGTCTTTTGTGATTCTGCATCTATTTCTTTCATGTTTACCTGCATTGGAGGCCTCCTGGTCTCCTGAGACAGCTTGATGTTGAAGATCTGGGAAGGTTTCAGATCCCATTCCCCAGACTTCAAATGATCTCAGGTCTCCCAGGCTAGAGGGAGACTGGAATTGTACTCCCCTATCCTGTCCTCTGAACCACATCACTGTTGCTATTCTGTTGCTAGCAAGCCTGTTGTTTAAGATGTATTTTCAGTGGGTTCCCCCTGAGCCTTCCTCAGGGAGGTGATAAAATTGCCTTTGAAGCACTGTACAAGTTTTTGCTTTCACAACCAATATACATTGCACTCAGTGAATTTCTCCAGATTACTATTTCATTAAACAAGATAATGACCGAAAAAGACAAAATCCTTCCTTGTCCTGCACTGAATCAGTGCTCTGAAACTGGAAATGAGTTTGGTTTCCTTTGCCCAAACAGCATTGGCCACAGCCCTGAGAGTGTCATCCTGCTGCCAGCCAAGAGGGCAGCCTGACCCTGCAGCTGGACACAGGTATGTCCCAGTCATCCCACAGCACAAGCAGCCAGGCTCTGACACGTCAGCCCATCATGGTGCCCTGACACGTCAAAAGCAGCAGGAGAGCAGCTTGGCTTCCCCAGCCGTGCCATGGCACAAGGCAATGCCAGCTCAGAGTGAATCCTAAACCAGCCCATAATCACACTGCAGTGAAGGGACATTGCCACGGGGAGTAATTTGCTCCTTGTGGCAAATGATGCAACCCCAACCATGATTTCGATGGGCTTTTGTGATCTGTCCCATAACCATATGCTTCTCTTTCTGTTTCAGAGCCATCAGAACCAAACAAGTCCTCAACTGGAGGAAACCAGGCGAGGGAACGACCACACTTGAAGCAAGCGAGAGGAAACTTGTTGTGCCTTTGGCTGCCATTCGCTGTCATGTAACAGTCAGCATTGTAGGAAGTGTCAATAAGATACCAACAGGGTAAACAGTTGTCAGACAGATTTTCACAGAGGCAGTTGACTGGACCATGGCTGCTTTGTACACAATGCCAACGCAGTGTCATTCCTAATGGGGGAATTTATACAGCGTAATTATGCCAGAATTTGCTCCAGGCTGCACACTGCTGCATTATAAACCTGGCCATTGCCATGTGATTAGTCAGAGCTTTAAATAACACTGAAAGTAATTATATCAAGCAAGAGAAGAGAAGTGATGCATTCCAGAGCTTGCCACGTACCGGCCCCTGAAGGGGTTAGCTATGGATGGTGGTGTCCCCTTTATTGCTGGAAGTTTTGATACCTTAGGCCACATCCTGATCACCTGACACACAAACAGCTTAAGGACCCTCTTAGTCTGGCCCCTGTAATTATGGAGCAAAGGGGACTTATATGAGGTGTGATAAGATTCCCGGATGATTGGATGTAGATGCATGCGATTGAAATGCAAAGAGCATGGAGGCTGCCTCGCATAGCAGCACATGGCCAAAGGGGCTTTGCATCAGAGAGATCTGGCTGCGTGCTTGCAGGCATACAAGGATGTCAGGCACCCTGTCATCAGTGGCCTGAGGGTTAAGGGCTGCTCCAGAGTTGCTCTAGCTGCAGCTAAAGGGCAGGTATTCCTCCGGTGGCACTGAAAAGAGTAAAGCTCCTCCAGTTCTACATGAGCATGGTGTCACATCACCAGTGCTCTGCAAAGGTGAGGGCTCCATCTTCCTGTGAGGGACAGAAGAGGGATCATAGAATCGCATAAGGGTTTGTGCTGGAAGGGACCTTACAGCTCCTCCAGCTCCAACCCCTGTCACGGGCAGGGACCCCTTCCACTAGAGCAGCTTGCTCCAAGCCCCTGTGTCCAACCTGGCCTTGAACACTGCCAGGGATGGGGCAGCCACAGCTTCTCTGGGCACCCTGTGCCAGCGCCTCAGCACCCTCACAGGGAAGAGCTTCTGCCTAAGAGCTCATCTCAGTCTCCCCTCTGGCAGGTTAAAGCCATTCCCCTTGTCCTAAGGGAAAGTGATCGCTGGATTAAGGGGGAGCAGATCACAGAGCTATGCAATGCTCCTACTTTGCACTTACTGTCAGAAGAGCCCTAAGCAGCTGGCATCCACAGATCCCCATTTCCCAGAGCAAAAAAACCAGATCCTTTGCTTTCCAAGTCATGCTGAGCTTCAGCCCTGTGAGGGGGACAAAGCTGGCTGATACCTCCCTTGCTCTAGCTCTGGTCCCTCAGGGCTGTTACAGACTATTCCAGTTTGCAGCAGCTCTCCCGAGGGCTGTTACAATGGTTGGGAATTGCTGTCACATCTTTGAGTCTTGCTCAGTCCTGCCTTCATTCCTTCCTCTGTGTCACACAGGGTGTTTCCCCGACCTTTACCTTCTCTTTCTGACAAATGCTTCGTTGGACCTGGAGACCACAGAGGTTTCACCTCCCAAGAGCTCAAAGGATCTGAGATGTTGAGACAAATCATAGTAAATCACAGTCAGAAATGCTGCTGTTGCTGGTGCCTTATAGTACCTGCTCTAAGAGAGGCTGAGGCACTCAGACTACACAGACACACTTTGAGAAACCAGGTGGATAATTCATGGGTCCCCACTTCTTTTTCTACCTGGCCTGAAGAGCTACAGACACCAACAACTACTTGTGGTATCCCAGCATTTCTGCTTTTGTCTAGGATGGGAATTAAACCAGGCACTAAATTGACAACAGAAATAACAGAATGGTGGAGGATTAGCCAAATCTTTTCAAATCTCAGCAAGAAAGTCCCCTTTGGTTTTATGAGCAGGCATTGGAATAGATTTCAATTGCTCTGTACTGATTCACCCTGCCCCTTCCGCTGACCTGCTGCAATGGTAACCCTGGGCTGTGCATCCTGTTTGAGCGGCAGCTGAGCTCCATGCAGAGGTGTCTGCCTCTGTTCACAGCTGCTTTCCATGGCTCCCACCCTGAGGCTGCCACCTCCCCTGATCTGCCAGCAGAACTATTTGTGGTGTCAACTCTTCGTGTCAGTGCTTCCCCAGCTCCATCAAAATACCAGAATTAAATGGGCTTTAAAATGGAGAAGCCACATAGGTCTGCATTGGTGGGACTAAGTGGAGAACTGCTATTAACCAGCATGTTCAGGTCAATGCCTTGAGCAAGAACCAGGACAAACATCCATACAAGGGATATAATGTACCAGCATTAAAAAAAATGGGGCTGGAGGCAGTGGCTCTGCAGCATTCCAGCTCTCCTGTCCTACATGGTCTCCCTCTTTTCCACTCCCTTTCTCACTTGACCCTGTAACAGAACTGCCTCGACACGTTGAGCTGACACAAAACTAACCCAACCAAAACTGACTTTCTTCCTGTTGCTCAGCATCCTGAGCAGGATCCAGCGAGCCCCAGAGCCAGCGGGAGGGTGCAGGCTGCTGGGCAGCCACAGCACAGGTATGTTACTGCAACAAGGAGGGTCTCCCTAGGTCTTAGACTTAAAATCTGCATTGTCCAGCTGTGAAAATAAAAGATGCTGTGGATAGAACAGAGTAAATCTGAGTTTCAACAGAGAGAAAGAAGGAGGAAGGGTGAAGAATGAAGGGCTGTGAGAGAAGAGCTGCATGTTTTGAACAAAAGCACCAGTGTTTTATAGGACGGGATTTCTCCTGAGTTTCTTGAAGTCTGGTAATTTCACATCCACTTTGGATGGTAATTCCCAGTCATTAGAGCTCTTCTAATCATCGGCTCTTCTAATGGGGCCAACCTTGTAAAGCTGCTGCTGCATTTATCAAACGTGCAGTCATGTACAAGCACACACTGTGTGTGTCAGCTGTGAAAAAGGAAGTAAAACCCAACACCCCAATCACATTTTCCATCTGAGGTGCTTCACCTCACTACAAGTAGCTCAAAAGTATAAAACCCCCAAATCTTAACTGATAAGTGAAACATTGTGTGATTGGTTGGCTGGCTTGCTGTGATTGACCTCTGGCACCACCCTGGTCTGGAATACCTGGATACCCACCTGGACTGGGTTTTCATTTGGAACTTAATGGGGGTTTGACACCAGGGGTGCTTTTTAGCTAAGAGCTCCCTGTTGTTTGCTCACAACAGTGCCACATGAGTGGAAACGTCACTCAGAGCTGCACTAGTGAGTTCTGGCTGGAGCTATCTATGGCTTTTGCTCTGACCACTGCTGCGGTGAGCTGGCAGACCTGGTCCATACCGGCCCCTCACCAAAGCAGAGCACTGGGAGGTGGTGTTGCCTTAACACTGCCAGTGCCCTGGGGTATCCAGTCCATCCCACCTAAAAGGTAAACCAAGTGAGGCTTCACTGAGCTGCTTACCTGCTCCACCCCACTGGGGCTGAGGGATGCTCCAGTCCCAAGTTGTGCTGGCGAGCTGTGGTTCTGTGGCCTTTGGGCTGGTTCAGTTCTTGTTCTGAGACACCTGAGCAAAGATTTCAGGGGTCTTCCTGCTTCTTCCACATCTCAGCAAGAAAAAAGAAATAGAGGAAAATAATGGTTAGATTCTCCTACACTAAATGGTCTAAAAAGTGAATTGAAGTGGCTCTGCCCCTTGTCTTGAGTTTTTCTGCAATAAAACCTGTGGTTTTGAGTGTTAAAAAGTGAAAATGATGGAGACATTGGATGAAGTGGGGTGACCAGTAGGGATGAGCAGAAGGGATGCACTGAGAGAAGGAGAGCAAGGAAAAGGCACGCTGAAGAACAAGGGGATAAAGGCTGGTGGAGGGAGAAGGCTGTGGTATGGCAAAGGAGCCCTTGCAGCAGCATCAGCATCCCAGGAGCTGCAGCCAGCCGGCACGGTTCGCTCCCGGCCTCCAGCCTGGTCCAACTGCAACAACATCTGTTACACTTGAGCTCTGCTGGGTTAGTGGCATGTTTGTTTAATTGTGGGCCTGGTTTGTTATTTTGCTTCCCATTAGGAAGCTGAAGAAAGGAGGAGGAGGGTGTTTTCATTCTGGGGAGCAGTTTGCCAGGACAATGAGTTTTTTTTCCATGGCACTGGGTAGTCAGAACTAGCTGTACCGCTCCTCGACAAGGCAGACGCCTCTGAAGCCCATTGTTCAACCTGATGCATTAAGGGCTCACACTTGTAATGTTGGCGCTGATCCCCCTCTCCCATTGTGTGAGCAGAATGGGCTGAGAAAGGAGAGCCTGTCCTCTGTGTGGCAGCAGGAGCAGGAGGCAGGGGCGGTGGCAAGGCTTTCCCTCCAGCAGCAGTGGTGGGGAAGGCGGTGGTGGCTTCAGGAGCCTCCCTGGGTGCTCCCAGAGCAGCCACCCGGCTTTCACTCCCCGCTGGAGCTCCTCCTGTTTTCCCAAATTCACCACAGGGTATTTTGGAAAAACGGCTGTTTCCTTGTGGAGCATTTGGGCTTTTTTGGTTTCATGAAGCATAAGAATTGCTGGAAGTGGAATTTTCTAGGGCTGAACTGACAGCCCTGGAGACCAGCTCCCATAGCTGCTCCACGCACCTCCTGCTCTGACCAAGGTGGTGCTGTCAAAGGGCTTCCATGGCATCTCTGCCAGGGTGATGCTCTGGCTTTGTCCAAGCCCCCAGGAAGGCATTGAGCTTGTAAGAGGAGCTGGTGCATGCAGCCATGACCTGTTGTGCTTGTCTTGCTCTAAAGCAGATGGCCAGCTTTCTGACTCAGCATCAAGAGACATGAGAAAGCAACAACTGGCACAAAAGAGCATCAGGAATGGCAATGGGTTGATGAGGATTTCTCATGTGCCTTCATCACTGCTTAAACCCAGAGACCCCAAAGCAAACCACTGCACCCAGACTTTGTACCTGCTGCAGCAATGTGGTGAGTTCACAAGGAACTATCCAGACATCTCTATTAAAAAGCAAAACAACTGAACAAAAACATTTCCTTAAAATTATGGATGGATTAAAATAATTAAACAGAACTGGGCATCAGAAGATTAAATTTAAACTTAAATTAGCGAGCAGGCAATACAAACAGAGCCTGACTTTGCAAACAGTTACATATGCAAGAATCCTGGGCACTCTGAGCTGCAGGGGAAGGATTGAGTGTTCAAACAGACTTATGGGGACTGGAGCCTGCCAGGGCTGGCCCTGACCCTAAATGCTTCAGGCACTGTCCTGGTCAGAGCTGTACAGCAGGAACCCATCACCAACCCTAGGAACAGCCCACAGCTGACCAGAACCTCAGCAGCAGAAGCAAGGTGCTTGGATCCTGAGCAAGCTGGACAGAAACATCAGGAAAAACATTCAGTGAAGTCAGAAGGGAGGTGCAGACCCTGAAGATGACTGTGAAAGTGCTTCCCACCTCCAGCTGTGCAGCCCTGATTTGGTGAGTACCTCCAAAGGAGGACACAGCTGTGGCTGGGTGCATCATGGGGACCCCAAACCTCACCCCCAGGCCTCTTGGCTCCATGTTGCCTTTAGAAGAGAGCTTTACCCAGCTAGGAGTCTTGCTATTAAGACTCACTTTACTGACCTAATTCCATCCACCTTCAACTCTATTTAGATGCCTTGACCATTAAAAGCTACAGCTTCCAGCCCTGCAGATCACGAAGTGAAGTACCAATTCTGAACTTCCAAGGGGCAGAGGAGGGCTTGTGAGCAGTGCCTGTTTCTAAAGGCCCATCTCTGCTGGCTGTGGCTATGATTTAACAGCCATGCTGGTTGGGCAGGGCTCTGCCTTCCTCCTAAACATGTGCCTTCCCCACTGCAATCACCATCGTGCCGTGCCTGTCCCAACACATGATCTCAAGGGACAGGAGGCATCACCATACCTGGTACCTCTGCAGAGCACCAAGTCCTCCTCCATCCTCTGCTAGCATCATCCTCCATCCTCTGCTCCATCATCCTGCTGCAATCATCATTTTTAGCCTGGCTAAAACAGCACCTTTCCTTATGGGAGCCACATGTGGAAAGAGTGACCCAATACAGAACACCCCTCTGCAGGGCAGAAATCCAGCCTCAGCTTTTGCCAGCCACAACTCCCTTGGTTTTCCATATAAGATGCAGTTTGCTAACATAAGCCAAAGCGGCTGGAGTCTGTGGGTGCTGCTGCACGAATACTTTAAGCCATGGAAAGTCAATTTTTTTGGGGATCTGGTACTAAAATGACTTCATGGAACGCTGCAGCTCCCAGCTGCTTGGGCACCAGCTTCAATCTCGGCTGGTGACAAGAGGACCATGGACACAACAATCCGTGGTCAGAGGCTTGACAGCACTGTAATTTAACTCGATTTTAAGGTCTGCACGGAGCGAGCATTCAAGCGAGGTCTCCTGCTGCAGGGCTGAGCTGGGACTCGGTTACAGAACAAGGGTCCATTAGCGCAGGAGGCAGCGCAGATGCTATCTGGCTCTGGCATTATCCTTTCGCTGGTCTAGCTTCGCTTTGGACAGTTAACATCTTGATGACATTATGAGTGGGGCTGGGGGCAAACTGTGGCCACAGCCAGATTAACAGCGCACACAGGGATTCGCTTGGGCACTGCCTGATAATACAGCTCGCTGCTGCTGCTCCTCATCAGGACTTCCCTAGTCCTGCAGTGCCCTGTGGCTGTACCAGAGCCATCTCTTGCAAACCACCCCGCTGAAATAGGGTGAACTTCAAGAAAACCACTAAGGAAAATCCATCATCAAGCTCCATCCCCAGCTGTGGTGAGCAGGAGGCAGAGAGACATTCACTGCTTTGCTGAGTGAAGCGTGGGATGCCAGGGAAACCTCTTCCATGGCCTTCAAGCCCAGCAAAGCATCCACCACCCTGCAGCCAGGGGCGTGTGATGTTTGCTTAAGCCGGGGCTGGTTTCTGGTTTTCACAGGGATGTGATAATTGCATTTAGATAACGCTGTCTCTCTGCTGGCTCCTCACAGGCCTCTCCTGGCCCCCAGCAGGGCTCATTCAAAAGCGGCTCCGCTCTCAATGACACCCACAAGGTTTTCAAACAGAAACAACCAGGGGTGGCTCTCTGCAGAAATAACAAAGGGACCCAATTACAAGCAAATGTGTCGAAGGGTCCCAGGGCTGGCTGGGGGCAAATTAGGGCCAATTAAAGGTCAAAATGATTTAAGGTATAAGGACAAGAGAGAAGGGAAACAATTGGTCAGATTCCTGCACAGAATAAGCGTCTGCGGCTCAGTTTGGATATGGTTTAGGGCCCAAATGGGGATAAACTTCAGAGTTGGGGCTATGTCTGATTTTCACAGTGGGTAATTCATCCTTTCTCCTCCATCCATGCCTGGGAAGGTGCTTGGCGTGCTCACGGTCACCAGTGCGCCTCCTGTGAGCCCTGCTGGGACCCAGCACAAGGCAATTTGTGTGGCCTTATGCAAGCTCCAGCCCTTGGGCAGCAGCAAGGGGACAAGTTCTATTGTCCTCCTCAGGCTGTGTGGAGCACTGGTTATTGCTGCTGAGGGGCCTCAATGTAATGCTGAATGAGCTTTAGGGTCCTTCCAACCATACCCAGCCTGGGATTCTATGAATCAGTCGTACTCTGCTGAGATTGACAACCCTTGTGCATGAAACCACCCATTCTTCCTCCTACTCAGCCATCAAAGCAAAGGGAAAAGCAACTTTCCCCTGACCCACTGGCAGAGCCTCCCTCACTGGGACCTCTGTTCCCCTGTCCTCATAGACAAGATCACCTTCACCCACCTGGAAAAGCTGAAATCTCATCCAGGAACGGTACAGCACTTGGATCTGTAAATGGGATGAGGGCTTGGCACTGAGCTTCCTTCCAGGATCAGTCCCTCTGCCTGCAGCCGGCACAAATACCCAGAAACCCAGCTGCAACAAATAAAGCGTGATAAATACTTTCACCAGCTCTGTTTAAAACCAGAGATGCCGGTCAGCCTGCTGCTTGCTGCTGAAATAGAGGAGTCATTTGAAAGGAGTAACCTGGGTTTAGGTTTCAGACACCCCTGGGGGAGGAAGCGCCGAATTCAGGAGAAGACTCAGGGCAAAGAAGTCCTGATGCGACATTTTGACCAGCCCATGCTGCCGGTTGGCTTGTTGTAAGAAAGAAAATTAAACTAATCGGGGAGAAATGGCACCGCAAATGCCTTTACCCAATTACTCATCATCCTGTGACATCTTCATCCTCCCCTACCTGAGCTGTTTGGAAACATCTGATGATGGGTGACACATTTCCATGCAGACTTGCTTTAAAAACCCACAAACCTAAAAAAAAAAGAAAAAAAGAGAGAAAAGGCAGTTTAAACCCATCTTACAACTGGCTGTAAAGCACCCAGCCCTGTCCCATCTCATCCTATCCCCTTCCTACCATTCTCCAGCTGGAAAAAGAGACCATAAAGCAGTTTTGTGCAGCCACATGTAAATCCCCTGTCTCTGTTAAGGCGAGAGATTAGTCTGTTAACAAAGTTACCTTGTCACCTACCCTGCTTAATCCCTGCATTTCAAAGTGTGATTTTATGGAGCGCCTCGGAGCTGAAATCTGCTGTGTGCTATTTATTTATTCCTGCAGTTTAATCACTCCCCACTTCTTCTAATTCACCTGGAGTTCAAAACACATTTTTTTGCCTTGCTGAAAGCGGTGATTTTTGGGAGGCAGCACCTCTGCCTTTGTATTCATCTTAATGCGTTTAAGGGGCTGAGGCAGTGCAAAGACCCCCCTCGTCCCCCTCTCCCCGCACCTTCCCAGACGACAGTCAGTCTGCACACAGCACATAGGGCTGGTGGTGCAGCCGAGTGTCCTGGCCATAAATCTGTCAATACAAAGAGAACAACACACATACAAAAAATGCGGCTAAAACCAAGAAATGCAGCATAATTACAGGTTCATTATTGCAAACAAAAGCATCCCCCGATCCCACCCCTTTGGCAGGGACCGGAGCAATTCAAACAGGCTCATTATGTAGTTACCTAGCCAGGGTCAGAGCCTCCTGAATAGCTGCTGTGGCTCTGCTTATTATCCCGGCCGGGACGCTGGGAAGGCGGAGGTGCAGGAGTGCTGGGAGCAGCGAGGCTCAAGGTCTGCTCTCCCCTCCCTTCCCACCTGTTGTGATCTCCATCCTCAGAGGATCGGCCTCTACTCGCTTTACAGGGTGTTTATCCATGGTGAGAGGTGCCAGGCTGACAACCTTAGAGACCCAAGTCTTAGCTTGTCTATGCAGTGGATACAGCATGAACAGGGGAGCTTGGCTGCAGCAGCAGGCATGGGGAGGGGACAACAGTTTGGTCTCCATTGTCTGCTCTATTTCCCCTCCAAAACCTCCTGTCACCAGGCTGGATGCAGCTGACCAAGGCACATGGCTCCCACAGCCCATCCAGCAAACCCCTCTGTGCTTGGAAACAGCTCGCAGCTAACCTGGGCTGGGAAAATCACGGCTTCCCAACTCATCCTGAATTTCCCAGAAGTTTGGGGGAATCCACAACACAACCCAGCTGCCTTGGGCAAGCCACCAAAGCCTTTGCCCAAGACATCTTCTGCAGCTCCATCCCATCCTATCCCTCCTTCCCCACACCCAGCCTCTGGCAGAGGCACAAGCAGCGCAGGGATGCAGCCGGTGTTTTTTGGACATCTCCAACCTGAGCTCCCTTTCTCACTGGGCTGGGAAGTGGTGTGAAGTCCCCTTCGCCACCACGTGCCCCTTCCAGAGCCACAGCTTCCCTCTCCGGTGGCCAAAGAATTGCGGAACTCCAAGCTGCCCCACCGAGCACCCGGGGAGCCCGGCAGTCCCTTCCCCTGCACCGCAGCAGGGCGAGTGCCGAGCTGCCTCCATCTATAACCCAGGTGTCAAAACATTTCCTCCTGCAGCCCCATTCGGGTCGTGGTAGCCCTGATCCCGGGTCCAGGCGTGCTGCTTTTGGGGTCTGCCTCACAGAGCCATTACTGTCACCGCCCCACTGTGCGCAGATAAGAATAGTCTGCTTCTTCTGACTCATTTAGCTAAAACAATGGAGCCACCAGAGGCCAAATTAATCCCTGGTGAATTCAGCAGAGTTACACCAGTCTAAATTTGGTCCCAGGCGTGCAATTAGCACAGAGGAAAGCGCAATGTCATGACAGTCTCTTGGCTCTTTCTCCAGGCTCCCTTCCCCTCTGTGTCCATGGCTGGGTGCTCCCTCTGCCCACCTTGCTCCCTGTGTCTCACCCTTTCTGGGCTCCAGGAAGGGCACCCTGCAAGGGGAAAAGGCAGCTCATCACCAGCAGTTTTTACCTGGGGAAGGACAGAACCTGTTTCCCTTGGTGGGTCCTCCCCACCTTGGGCTGGCAAAGAAGTGAAACCCATTCCCTGCATTGGGCATTCCGATGCCTTCAAGTGCCTGAAAGCCTCTCTTAGGTCTAGTGCCCGGTCTCCTTTGTGGGCCTTTAAACTCAGTCCTGACTTTCATCCTCATCATCATCACAATCACTGGTTTTGCAGCAACTTGGTTCTCTCTCGAAACAGCCTAGCCACCAAACTGCACTTCTCCAGCATAGAGAAAATGTGTTTGAAATGATACAGGACTTTGGTGACTCCCTGCACCCTGGGAAGGGGAGGCATTGCCCATCTGCTCCTGCAGCCACACAGAAGTGCTGTGCCTGAGAAATAGAAGAGGCACAAAGAAGTAAAAAGGGAAACAAGGCAGCAAACCAGACCTGTTCAAACTGCAGCAGCACTTCCTCAAAGAAATGGGTTTGTGTGTCAGGCGCGAGCAGAGCCTGGATCACGGAGCTGCTTCCCCTGGCTGCTCTGCAGGGCCTGATGGAGACTGGAGCTGGGAGAACTGCTAACCTCAGAGAGCACATGTGTGTATGTGTGTGAGTGAGTGTGTGTGAGAGCAAACAAGCAACGGAAAAGCATCAAATAATTGAAGAAAAGGGGAACAAGGAGCAGAGTGTGGGACAGGAGAAGGTTGGTGCTCGGTGCCTCCCTCCCCGTGTTCCCTGCCCCTCTGGCCCCACAGCCCGGAGCCTTTTCAAACATAGACTTCTCATTCCTTTGCCAATTCTTCAAAGGCTCCAGGATTCGAGGGAACTTCCTGTTCTATCACAAACCCTCGCTTTCTTTTCCTATTCCAGACTATTAAACCCCGCACTAACGAAGCAGGGTTTGCCGCATGTCCGACGACCCTGCCTGCTGCGTGACACTAAAGTTCTGCTGCTCAAGGTGTTTTGGACCTTACATCCCCCTCGTGACCCCTGAGTTTACTGCAGAACAAAGTCTTGTGAAGCTCGACGCTGGAGAATATATTTCCTTCCTTGCCTGCCCATAGCGGTTGTTTCAGCCTCGCATGGGGTTGTGTGTATTATGTTGTTATTGCAGGGTTGCTGGTGACAACTGATCCGCACACATTGCTTCGTTACCGTGCCTTGTGTTAAATCTGGGACTCCTGTCTTCAGTTCATTTATTTATGTGAGGAAAAGGAAAGTTTCTCAGGGTTCATTAAAACAAACACGTTTAAAGACAGACCAAGACACGGCGCGGGGATGGAGGGAGAGGAAATCCTGCCCAGCGCGGGGCCTCGCTGTGCCCCTTGAGCACGGGCACGGCCTCGCTGCCCACCCTCCCGTGGCTTACTTGGGATGCTCGGGGTTTCTGCCGTGCACGTTAACGTGGCTGTGAAACCAGCTCGGCGTTAACAATTCCCAAAGGCTGGAGTTAGTGTAAACCCTGCTCCAGACGTGCGGGGTTTAAAAGTTCAGATAAAGGAAGAGGTGAAAGGAGAACAAAAGAGAGGGGGAGGAGAGTGGTGAAGAGATGACTTGGATGATGGTGTGTGCTGACAGCTCTCAGTGTGATGGACAGGAAGCACCCCCAGCGCGGTGGAAGGGCTGGGGACTCTCTGGCTGCTGGTGGGTGAGTAGGCAGCAGAAAGGACTCTGGAAATCACAAAACCTCATCCCAGTGCCCAGCTCACCCACAACATCTGGAGATTGTCCTATATTTGCTCATTTAGGACCAGAGTGGCAGAGTCTGGTCCCCAACACATGCCAAGGGCAGAAAACAGTGGTGATGGTGCATGGGCCCAGACCCTCACCCTGCCCTGGAGTCACGTCTGCAGCTTGTTTTCCTCATCCACTAAGGGAAAGGGGAAAGAGATGAGTTTGGGCAGTAATGGGAAAGAGCAGAAACACACAACACACTGTTCCCAGCAGAGCATCCACTGCTCTGAGTGAAAGGGGAGACCAAGAAGACAATGAAATTAAGGGGAGTGACTCCTGTCAAGCTAAATAATTAAGTCCCAGGGTACATAATTGATGCACTCTTGATGTGGACCCTAAATCATTTACAAGGCTGGTGTGTAACCCGACATATGCAGTTCTGGCTTTACAACAGCAAGGGATGAGCATCCCCACCGAGCAGGCCCCTCTTGTGGGTCACACCACCCAGGACACCCCATGGAGGGTGGGCTGAGCAGGCTGCTCACCACCGAGACATCCACTTGCTTGGTGTTGCTTTTGTAGACAGGAGTAGCTCCACCAATCCATGCCCTGTTCCCATGGCAGGACAGGGCAGTACGAGAGGGAGATGCTGCTGTTTCTCTGCTGAGATTTTTCAACCAGCTTCAACCAAGCTCAACCTCAGTTGAATCTTAAACATCAGCACAAGCTGCCCCGACCCATCTGTATCATGCACAGGTTTTTCTCCACCAACAGAGCCAGCCCAGGGCTCCACTACTGAGTGGGAACAGCTCCTCCAAACCACTTCTCTGCCTGCACCTACGCTGATCCATGCCCTAATCCAGAGAGATGGAGCAATCAATGCGCAAACGAAGAGCTGGACAAAGCGACACCACCTGGGACAGGGCTGAGCCATGGAGATGGTCCCCGGGGTTGGCAGCCTGGGCAGAGAGAGAGAACACAGGCCCCGCAGCTGACAGCACTATGCCATAAGAAAGACATCAATCTCCAGGGCTTTTTCCACTGTCAGTTATCCACAATGCCCTTTCCATCAGCTGCAGAAGTCGAATAGCGCTGTGCATCCCTAGTCTGCTCTTTCTCCTTTTTTTATTTCCCTTGGTCCTTTCACATTGCATCATCAAGAAAAGCCATTTCTGCCCTTCTCATGCCTTCCTGTGGCCCTGGCACCTGCCTCTCCAGAGCACCACACCACAAACCTCCTG